GTGTACACCCTTAACTTAATTTGGTAAACAAACGGGGGCTGGACACTCGGGTCGAAGGTTGAATCCACAAGAGAATGTGCAAAGGGAAAGAACATTTTGTCATTTCTAGGATTATGAAATACCAGTATAGGGACTTCAGCTCACTAACATCACCTACAAATATTTCTTTTTGTTTTTTAATGTCGCTCACAGTAAGTTCACGACAGCCACCGCTGGATGAACGATGAAGCGACACAACGATTTCTTTCTCTCTCCTTTAATTGAATCAGCTTTTGCGTTTTCTTTTTTGGCTCACATGATAGTTTGATGTAAGGAGGTGCCAACATATCCTGGATTGAGAGCTCGAGAGATGAGAAGCAATTTTCGGAAACTGGATCTGTATGTTATATATTGGGTCCATACTCTAACCTCTCTAATTTTCCTCTCACCCTGGCCTTGGATTACAGTAGAGACCCACATTAATCCAGCCATATAGTGCGCTGCAGTCTATCTGCAATCAGTGCTGATACACTCCATAACACCCACTTGGATCAATGAGCAGTCAGTCAATATGGCAGCAGTTAACCCAGTTTATTAGCCCTAATGCAGGAAATTTCATCTTCTTAAATACAAATTTGAGCCTATGTGCTGTTAGCATGAACAAACCAGAGCAAAGCACATCTTCCTGAAAGATTTGATCTGTCAACAAGCAGCCAATTTGTGCGTCCTGATACGTGGCTGACAGAGGTTGCCTTTAAAGGGGGGAATCCTGCGGAGCAATTAAATATCCTGGGCAGAGCGGTGTTGATGGACAGATAGAGTCTATCCGTTGGTGATTGGCTTTTTAATTGAGTCCCCCCCACCTGTACCGATCCTTATCGTAAGCCTTTGGACCATGTCTTGGGGTGGGGGTTGAGCTACTGAAGGAATCAGATTGGCAGCACCAGCTTTATACAGTTGTGGAGGAAAACAGCAAGACGTGTGAGACATCAAATCGTTCATGTCAATGTTGGCATAGTCGGTGTGCTCTCAAGATTTGCATTCTATTTGTGACAGCAGCGGTGGGTTTCAGGGGTTGGGTGCGCTCAAAAGCAGGCACAGGTATGCTAAAGAATACCATTTATAAATGCAAATGTTTAACCTGACATGTTGAGCATTTTAATCAGCTGCCTCTCCAGTGTTTCTTTCACCTACCACAATTGGATGGGCTCCAACTGTAGTAGTGACACATGCAGCAGTCTCCAAATACTGCAGGTCTCAGTAAAAGTGGCTCTCCAACTTACAGTGGATCTCCAGATCTCCCCACACCAATATGGGCAGCTGCCATCCAAGATGATGCCCGGGATGAGAGCAAAGCAGCTGAATAATTTTGCCAGCACAGCAGTAAACCAGCAAAGCATGACACAGGAAGGATGGGGCTAGGTGGTTAGTAACAACTGAACCTTTAAAATAAGAGCGAGATGATTGTCCACTTGCACAATAATGATGTATATCGTCCTTTCAGACAGACGATAAGAATCACAAAAATGCTAAAATGAGTCATGAGACATTAAAATATCTGTACAGCCTGCCGATATCTATGTAAAGTCTATTTGTGGGAAAACCTGATGCTTCAAGCAAAAAAATAGAAAATAAAAAAATAAGGAAACACCCCAAAACAAAATAAGTCAATTTTCAGAGCATTCTGCAAGTTGCAAGAGTTATGCTTGCTGTCCTTCAGAAGCAAATGTCAAAGATGAATAAAAAAAAGTACATACAGCGATGGGTGGATGGATGATTAAAGTAAATTTGAACACCGAAGACAAGTGTCAGTTCCCAGTTTTTTAACGGACAGCCACTGCCATCATTGTTCTTGAACTCTTAGTTATTACTATAAACAGGGCATTGAAGAGACACCAATATATCCACTGTAATCATTTTTCCAGCTAGTTTCATGGAGAACCAGGGGGTCTCCAGATCATAGACTGGACAGAATTACAGTCCTTGCTTTTTGCCTGCTGGGGTCTCCAGTCCATCAAAGGTCTAACAAAAAGACCCTAACAGCCTTTCACACTCACGCTCACCTGTACAACCGACTTTGAAATCAACACTTATATCAAGCATCTTTTTGGACTGTGGGAAGATACAGAGCATCTGGAGAAAACCCATGAAGTCACAGACAGAATACGCAAGATCGAGACAGAAAGGATACCGACAGGTTCAAGCCCAAACTTTCTTGCTGTGACGCAAAAGTGCTAAACAGTCATTTTGAACCCAAACCATGACCTTTTACTAACCCACTCATTTTTTCTAGCTAAACATACATCCTCACAGTAAGCCACAAACAGCAACATCCTTTCGATACTGCTGTCAAACCAGCTAGTGCAGGTTGCATGTTGCTTTAGGGTAAACATTAAAAATATATACACTAACTGGTCAACATTTCTTTTTCTTCTTCTTTTTTTTGTTACTGCTATCTGAATGTCTGGATTAAGTCACAAGGAACACTGACCTGTTTATCATGTAAAGTGACCTTTACATGATAAACATTCAGACAGGTCATTTAACTCTTCTGTTATCATCCAAATGTACTACAGTTCATTTGAACTGTTCTCAGTTCACCGCATTATTATATGCTACACTGAAGTGAGTAGTGTTGTCAGTGAAGTTAATACTTTAGCAGTCAATAAAGTCATTTTTACAGAAATACAGGCTCTGACTGTGTTTCAGCAAGAAGATGATCTTGATTAAGACAATATATCACATGCACTGTGCAGGCTTCCCTTACATGCAGGCAGCAGTAGCATGATCAAATACAGAATGTACAAAGGCTTCTAGCATCAGCAGCAAAGTGGGCATGTGATGAAGACTTCGGGACCTGGACTGCAAAGTCTCTGTTTTCCTCAGTCCACACTAAAACACAGTGCTTGAATTTTCTACACTGCTTCATAATCCAGGCGTACTGTGAACGCTGGGTAAAGACACAGCAAAAGTTATGCATTTTAAAATGTTAACCAGTTATTGTGGCCATTGCCTCAGGGATGATCCAGCTTAAAGACTTTCTGTTAAAGACCTGTTCATACATACACTGAACCCCCTAATTATAGCTACATTATCTAGCGCTTACAATGGCACTCTGACCACAGATGTGGTTCAGTGCTACAGTAATTAACCTTAAAGAGTTTATTTTCAAATTTCTTTCCAGATCATAAATACTGTTATCACAAATAAGCCTTCAGATCCGTGACATTCCAGACTTACGTGATTTGGATGATCAAGATGTGCAGATGTTTGTGTGCTGTAAAGAGACACTTTCAGGCATCTAATGTGATTCTTTGCCGTTTACACACAGTGTCGAAAGTCTGCTCTACATGTGTGATATCCGCCTGCTTATTCGTGCACAGGCAGAAGGCCTTATTGTACATGGATTTAAGCGATACTTTAAATGGGCACTAATCTCCCTCGCTCAACACCAAGGAGCTGCAGAGCTGCAGGGGGTCTCATCCTCACACACATATATATGCCCACACCTTCCCTTCCTCTTTCTTTCATATATATATATATATATATATATATATAGACAGAGAGAGAGACCCCAGACGCATAGTTAAAGGCAAGGTAGGGCCTCTCCACATCGCCAGGGTAAAGTCACACAGGTCAGTGCTTAGTTTCCACATCAAACCCAGGAGCAGAGGCCAGAGTCTCTACCACCCCCATCCCCACCACCACCTTTCTCTCTCCTTCCCTCCCACTCTCTCCACACACATACACCCTCCTCCTCCTTGTCCTCCCCCCTCTCTGGATGTACAAATGCCTTTGCTGTCAGCTCTGCCCTGGTCCCCTGTAATTGAAAATAACAGCCAAGGGCCAGCCCCCGGCCACTCTCTCCAGCCTGGTGGCTCTCTGCCCCTGTGACAGCCACCCATCAATACCAATGACTATTACCCTGGAAGTGAGAGCGCTGGCGATGACATCCAAGACACCACCCCTGCAACACTCCCACACACACACACACACACACACACACTCATATATACACACACCCGAGTGTCCTTCCTCCGCTATCCAACCCTCCCAATGTTTAACCCATTCCTAACAGCCTCGTTCCTCTGTTTCTAAGCTGCTACAGTAGACAAACAAGCCCGTCTCTCTCTTTCACACACAGACACACACACACCATAACGCTGCACACAAATGCACACCCACACGCACACAACTCTCTTAAGACATGCACGAAACTCTGACAAGCAGCAAACTTTTTTTTCCACTGAGAAGTGCCGAGAGTTTTTGCAGCGCAGTCACACTCACATCCCCCACTAAGACATTCAGTCAGTGTTATTCTACAACACTCCTCACTGATAAGCAGATATGTTTGAAGTTGCATTGGACTTGTGAGAGATAAGAGACTTGAAACACAGGAGGTGCCTGCGCTGCAAAAGTGTGGATGCTGCCCATGTCCCCGGTTGTCCCGAGTTTATAAAAATCAGCTCTCTTTTTTTTGGCCTCTTTTATGACAGCTTATTAATTGACACTGACAATAAAGAGTTGTCCAGTCAGCTACATGCGGGATCTCTTGTCTCCCCCCCACTACCTTCTCTACTGCCAAACACAATACTATAGGTGATCTGAGTTGTCATTTGCTTTGACAGAGCAATGACAGCTGGACGAAACGCATTGAACACAAGCACAAAGCCCAGCAACGTGACAAATGAAGCACATAGCAGCAGCCAGCAGAGGAACAGGACAAGAAAATTGCACAGACCTTGTCAGAAGCTGCAGAGCCGTGGAGACTAGGAGACTGTTTTCCTTTCTACAGTCCTCTCTGTCTCGTCTCCTCCTCTCCTCTTCTCTCCTCTCACTCTGCGCGTATGTACGTGTGTATGTGTGTGAGTGAGTGTGTGTGCGATAATGTGTGTGAGTGTGAGTGAGTGTATGTGAGTGAGCAGCTCCCTCCCCTTCTGCCTCTCAGCTGCTCGGCTCAGGCAGTTCTCAGGAAATGAATGAGAGCGCACAGAGAACTGTTGTACTTGCAAATGACTTACCCCGAGTCACATGATCCGCTAAATGTAGGGTGGGCCGGTGGGTGGAGGCTTCATAAGCAAAAGGGAAGACAATATACTCTAAGCTTTAACAGCATGCATCGAATTACATGGGGCCCCTCAGGGGAGGTTTCCGACGCGTCCGCTCTAAACCAGTCCAAACTCCCTCCAGTGCACACCTCCCGGAGCGCAGCGGAGAGTCCTGGGCTGGGGTGAGCACCGGAGCACCTCCCCGTTTAAAGGGGACGGAAACGAAGGGGGTAACAGTGCATTAGTTCAACTTGTTTTATTCGCAATGCATCAGTTTGGGTTGTGATAATTAAAAGGACAAAGTTTTTACACGCGCGTCTAGTAATTACACCCACGGATACAGTAATTATAAATACAAGTGAACCGATGTGGTCAGTGAACCGATTTGTGAATAGAAAAACGAACTAGTGAACATTTAGTTTAATTTTAAATCTCATCCAAGAGCAAGGGAAAAACAGCAAAATCACATGAGAATATTTCGTTCTTTTCTGATTCAGTGACGATCAAGTGTCTCAAGGGAATAACTGGCAGATTAATACATGAACAGGAACATTTATTGATGCAAAAATGACTTAAATCCTTAATCTTCATAAATCAGAATTGTGACTGAAAAAATATTGCAGTGTAGAATACTTTGCTTCTCATCATTAAAGCATATGTCCTATTATTTATTTATTTTTATTGTACTTACTACTTATACTTATTGCATTTATTGCACTTATTAGCATAATAAAGCCTAAAAATCTATTTAAAAAATCAAATAAATGCAAATATATATACATTTTATTTACA